ATCGAATCAACGATTTTGCAATTGTGATATCAGCCTAACAACCATATTACTGGTACAATATTTGTCTGGGTTAAGAATACCAAGAAAAATGATACAAGCAGTTCTACAGGAAGTGGGGTAAAGTTGGACGATGGTATGCAGATTCAAGGCCCTTATGTAGGTGGTCACTGGGAGGTGTCCTTGATGAATATACGATAACCTAAGCTCAATAACCAGGGCACTGCATAGTGGCAACCAGTAATGAAGTGTTGATGTCCTTGTTAATGGGCTATTGTGTATTATGAAATTTGTTGCTTTATTATATGTATTAATTTATATATCTGCATCTTTGTGAATAAAATTTTCTACTGGAATCAATAAAAGAGGAATTTTGCTTAATATTCTTTTCACGAAACAAATCATGCGTTGCCAGTTATATTTATGTTTAGATGTAAATTGCAGATGCTGATCATCTGTACGTCGTCACAAGCTTACAATCACCCAGCATGAGAGGTCTATTGTCTAATATTCACGAAAAGGGTGGTATTGAAAAAAAATATTCACAATATGTCGTATTTTCCGGCTGAAAATACAAACCTCTTTTTCCTCAGTAGATTCATTCTCTTTCGGCTTCAGTCTTTTACTCCGTTTTCTCTTCTATTCTCCTCTCTTCTCCTCTCTTCTCTTCTCTTCTATCCTCTTCTCTTCTCATACGTCACATCATGAAATGCCCGTGTGACGTAGACAGCTTAACTCCTTCATTTGAAAACTAAAAAAACAGACAAACAAGAAAATTTAGACTACAGGGGAAATAGGCAGTAGGTACGAACAGAAATCCCAGGAATATTGCCTTTTTTAACGGGGTCTTTTTGGTTACTTTCGTTTTGTTTTGTTTTTCTGAACGGCTGTCTTTAACATGTCGCTATTGTTTTAACGAGGGTCCATTTGAAACAAAAATATATTTTATGGACAAAAGGTACAAGCTAAAAGCTGACCAAGAGAGATGAGGGCAAAACGAAATTTTTTTTTTTTTAATCAACGACTATAATATTTACTCTTTTCTCTAACGATCTCCAAATTGGACAATTCTTATACACTCTTCTTAGTATGTATTTTACTCTCTCAAAAGAGTATAGTAGTTTCCCGCCACCACAGGAAACATTATGGTCAACAGGCTCGTGTTCCTTTGACCTTGCCAGTCAGCGCTAAAAGGGAAGCAAAATGCAGTATGGGAAATGGAGAAGAGAGAAATAGAGCGCGATAGAGATATACAGGGGAAATTTACACAGACAAAAAGGACACAAAAGGACAGAGAGAGAAAAAAAATAAAAGATCGGAGAAAGAAAAATAGAAACAATGAAGAAAAGGAAGGGTGCGCGCGCGAGAGAGAGGGAGAATGAGAGAGAGAGAGAGAGAGAGAGAGAGAGAGAGAGAGAGAGAGAGAAAGAAAGAGATACATATATAGAGATAAACAGATAGATATATGGATGTATAAATAAATAGACAGAGAGAGAGAGAGAGAGAGAGTGAGAGAGAGAGAGAGAGAGAGAGAGAGAGAGAAAGAGAGAGAGAGAGAATGAGAGAGAGAGAAAGAAAAGAGAAAGAGAGAGAGAGAGAAATGGTCGGCCCTCTACTCGTCGCACTTGTCTCTGGGACAGCATCAAGAAGACGGACGTGACAAAAACAAGGCCAATGAAAGCCTCGTTTTGAATCCAAGACAAAACTTTGTCCTCTCGAAGACGCCTGTGTCAAGGTCCGAAAGATACCCACGCTCGTTTGTACCTTGACTCGGCGACCATTGACGCTTTCACGGTCTTTCGTTCGCCATTGTGCTCTCCTGTAGAATAATTGGGCTGTGTATGGGAAGGAAGGGGTTAGGAGAACGACTATGTTAATGAAAAAGTGAATGAACAGCTCAAAACTTAGATAAAAGTGTGACGCGCTGTTTAGAGGAGATACGCACTACTGTTCTGTGACGGCATTGTTCCCTTTGGCGACTGCAAAAGCTTAACTTCACTTTTAGGGGGCTGCTATAGCGTTAGGAATAGACAGATTTGGTCTTGGGGAATAGGGGGGTTAAACATATTGATATGATGTTTAGTGGATACAAGTGTTATTGAACTTGAGTACTAATTACCCCCCCCCCCCTCCCAGTTAAGATATGTCTTGAGTGAGCGTCACTTGAACAAGAAGACAAGTGTCAGTCTCGAGGTCATTTGTTACTTAGATTTTCACTCTATCCTTCCCTTTATTGTTTTGTTATTACGAACAAAAAACCCCTCAAAAGTAGTTTCTTTTAACTTTTTACCTACTGAAACGTGGTATTTGTACTTGCGTTGCCCGTATTTGTATTGTGTTTTTTTTGGTGGGGGAGGGGGAGGGACATATAAATAATGTGTTGTTAGTTTGGCTTAAAATAAAAATGATCTATATTTATATTTCATTTCCACTCTTACTCGAATAGGACCTGAAATTTCGCTTCATGTGAGACTCTTGTGGAGACACTTGATCACTTGACTGGTCGTTTGATGTCTCTCGTTCCTACTCCTTATCTATCTATCTATCTATCTATCTATCTATCTATCTATCTATCTATCTATCTATTTATCTATCTATCTATCTATCTATCTATCTATCTATCTATCTAAACTCATTTTAAGTCCAAAAGGACTCAACTTCGCTTGGTGGTCGTGACTTAATAATGTTTGATCTCAGAATCACAAAATCAGCTTTCACTTAAAAGCTCTATAAGAAAAACACGAAAACGTCTTTTTAGGATTTCAACATTCATTCCTGTCATGGAAGATCCTAGCTCCTGACAGACCCAGGTCGAGAGCAATAAGCACACATTATAATAATTTTGGCCCAAGAGGCCTAAGACTTTTGGCGCTTAAAATAATTTATTATTGAAAACATTTCTCTGCCAGAATTGGTCTCATTGGCCATAGCAGAAACATCAAGTCATCTAACTCATGGTTATTCTTATTTTAAAAGTTTCACTAATGTTATTCTCCAATGCAGATACCTTGGTTTTCGTCAGCCATGAGCTGACGATTTATTAATGTAATAATAATAATAATAATAATAATGATAATAATAATAATAATAATAACAATAATAATAATAATATAAAAAAGAAGAAGAATGGTACTACTACTAATGCGGACATTACTACTACTACTACTACTACTACTACTACTACTACTACTACTACTACTACTACTACTACTACTACTACTACTACTACTACTACTACTACTACTACTACTACTACTACTACTACTAGTACTACTAGTACTACTAGTACTACTAGTACTACTACTACTACTACTACTACTACTACTACTACAACTATAACTACTACTACTACTACTACTGCTACTACTGCTACTGCCGCTGCTATTGCTGCTGCTGCTGCTGCTGCTACTACTACTACTACTACCTGTTACTAATATTAATCATAATAAACATAATAATCATACTCATATTAGTAGTCATATTATTACTGTTGTTTTAATTACTATTTCTATTAGATCTATTATTATTATTATTATTATTATTATTATTATTATTATTATTATTATTATTATTATTATTATTATTATTATTATTATTATTATTATGGTTATTATGATTATAATTATTATGATTAAGATTATTGTTGCTTTTGTTGTTGATATTATTGTTAACTCCCATGGGTTTCTCTCTTTCGATCTCTCTCTCTCTCTTCTCTCTCTCTCTCTCTCTCTCTCTCTCTCCTTCTATCTCTCTCTCTCTCTCTCTCTCTCTCTCTCTCTCTCTCTCTCTCTCTCTCTTCTCCTCTCTCTCTCTCTCTCTCTCTCTCTCTCTCTCTCTCTCTCTCTCTTCTCCTCTCTCTTTTTTCTCCAACTCTTTCTCTCTATCTCAATGTTTGTCTCTTTCTCGCTCCTCTTTCTCTCTTTCTCTCTTTCCCTCTCCCCCTCCACCCCCTCTCCCTCTCTCTCTTTCTCTCTTTTTCTCTCTCCCTCCCTCTCTATCTCTGTCTCTGTCTCTTCTCCCCCCCCCACTCTCTCTCTCCTCCACTCTCTCTCTCTCTCTCCTTCTCGCTCTCTCTTCTAAAAGATAAACGTGCCAACTAAGAACTATTTTACGATTCTGTTAAGGCTTCGAAAAGAGACCATTATAATCCCTCTTACTCGCTTCGTCTCTGTTCAGCGATGCGGTATTTTATTCTCACACTTTTCTGTCTAGCTGCAGACCTCAATTTAACCTCATACTGAATTCCTTTATATTTAATGAATTTGAATACACCGGGCCTATCAAATCAAGGACAACAAATAGATACATAATCATAGTTTCGTGTCAACTCATATTCTTGACAGAAGAGTGGAAGCCTGTTAGAAGTTGAATCAGCTGGAGTTGTTGTTTGTTTGTTTGAAAAAGAAGATGCGCACAGAGTAAATACCGGTCACTTAGTGAATGGAAAGAGTAAGACGAAAAAGAAAAAAACATAAAAAGAAAAAAGTGAGACCCACATGGTGAGGCGTCCTCTAATTTCCCACTGTAACGTATCATTAACTGTTGCATGTGGCTGTGTTAGGAAGTATACTAATACATAACCATTCTAATAATCTGTACAACAATCTCTATCATAATTAGTCCACGTGGCTGAAACGTTCACCTACCATGTACCACCTCAACCCTTCCCCGCCCCTCCCTATACCCCAATCCCCACTTACCCTGTAGTTCGATAAGAGAGCAACAAATAAACCTGATAATCTGATTGGTTGGACTCTGACCTTCCAGGGGTCGCTTAGTCAAGGGTAATTAAGTGGCTCTACAACGTTGTCTATATTACGTTCTCAAACAGCGAGGTTACTGATTTACACTTTCCGAAAGCAAGCCATTTCATCTCGTCTGCTGTAATCAACGTTGCTTGCCCAAAAATAGTTTAGCGTGGAAGAGGGAATCATTTTTTGTTCTTAGCGTACAGATGGTGCTAGTAGTTTTTTGCACTTAATCGTTTCAGGTATGGTGTTTTGTGTATCTTAACAGTCGAGATTATCTTCGGACATGAAGACCGGCGGAGGCTGTTTGATCGGCTGTAAGACAAACCTTTAGGAACATACCCGGAGTGACACAGTGAGGCAAGTTAAAGGGACGTGTGACACACATCGCCCAGAGATCGCGATAAACCACGGAGCCCTCCCATTGGATGAGCGGAGCTCGGTATAAAGAATGCTGTCCTCAATGTTCAGGATCTGTTAGCGAGTAAACATCCATTTGTGAAGATCCCACACCATTTTCTTTGAACACGAGGTATTTATCTACGATCGCCTAGATAGTAGGAAATGTGGATTTGAAGATGACAATGAATATTAGAAATGTAACTCTCGTAAATAACAAGCATCCGTTACTTTTGCCTTTCTTATATCATAATCTTAACTCATTTTCTGTTCGAAACGTATTTAATGTTTCTACAGTAAAGACGTTTTAAAAAAAATTCATATCTCAAAAAAATAAACCTTTCTGTTCTCCCAAAGTTGAACAAAGACACTTCTTTTGCTTACTAGTTCTATTTATGACCACCTTTCTCTAAAATTACCAAAATAAAGCAAGGAAATGATTGTATCTTAGATATATGACCAGTTTAACCTGTTTTTAGCCTTGTATTCTATTTTCATATATTTCAGCCGTGAACAGTTTAAATAGCTCTGATGACAGTGACATTTGCCGACGAAAAACCTTTGTCTTCTGTCCACGAGTGTGGTAGCAGTACAGCTGGTTGCCAACATTGTTCCTCCTGTTCCTACTTGGAACTGCCAGTACACCAACAGACAAAGGAACTTAAAAGCCGTTCGCACCCTCACAAATCTCCTCTCAGATTCATCATGGCTTACAAAGGCCGAATCGTTCGTCTCAGCATCCTAGTCCTGTTCTCCTTTATGTTCTGCGGGGTGTACCTTGCCTTCTTCAAACATCCTCCACCAGATGTACTTCTACAGATGAACATGCAATCTCAGGACTCAGATCTCTCTTTCAACGATTTCGGCGCGTCAAGCTTTCAGAAATCGAACGTCCAAAACTCTGATGATGATGAAGGCGATACGGATGATGCTGAAAATGTTGAGTTTTTCTTGAACAAACGATCTGTGAATGATGACGAGGGTGATGAAGAAGAAAACGAGGAAGAAGAAGATGAATATGGAGAAAAGCTGATCGTGAAGAGTGAGAAAATGGAGAAGAGGGAGAAAAACGAGAAAAAAGAAAAACAGGAGAAAAAGGAGAAGGTAGAGAGCAAACATTCTGAAGACAATAATGGAGCAGAATATTGGAAACAATTCCTCAAAGTTAATAAATTTGTGCCTATAGGAGCTGTCTTCGACAAATGCGGTGAGTATGTAGAATGAATGTTTTCCAAATATTGCGAAAATTTGAATATTTCTAAAATACTATGTATTGAGAAGGTTGCTTTCTTTGTCCTTCCCAAAGCTTCTGCAAAATGAATCTCTCATTGTCACTTAGTTGATCACAGGTAAGATAAAAGGGTTTATTGAATTTGTAGTGGCACGAAATACGAGCATTCTAGACACAATAACAACAATTACCTATACTTAAAACATTAGCATATGGTGGCGTTCGCAAGGAGCACAAACACAATGTTGAGTGAGCGCTATGCAGCCATTATGTTTTCGTAAGTGCAGTATGCAATGTCCTTTAGGTTATGACGGAGTAGGAAAATCAAGAAGTTAAAAACCCATTAGAAATATATTATGCACACTTCCTGATTTCAGTTGAAGCACAGACATGAGAAGAAATGGGATCTTATTTAAAACGTAATGTGTCTGAAACACTGTTGCCATTGCTTTGAGAAAGAATAATTCCATTTTTTAAGATTATCTAATTCTGGTATTGGAACAAAATATTTGTGTCCAGTGCCTGGGCTATCGGACTCGTAATCACGAGGTTGCAGATTCGGGGGTTCGACCGCGGGCCCGACGTTGTGTTCTTGGGAAAGGCATTTTACACGAATGTGAATTTTTCCCACCTCACCC